AAGAGAAGAGAAAAGAAAAGAAAAGAAAAGAAAAGAAAAGAAAAGAAAAGAAAAGAAAAGAAAAGAAAAGAAAAGAAAAGAAAAGAAAACAGAGTTGGGGAGGCCAGGCAGGAGGAATGGACTCTGCCCATGGCTTCCAGGTCCCTGCGCCAGATGCCTATGGAGGGCAGGGCTGCTCCAGCCCTGGGGCTGAGGAAGGGCCAGGTGGGGCCAGCCAGCGTGGTCAGCTAGTGCAAGTAGTCGTCGACTCTGGCAAAGGAGCAAGATCCCAGGCCCGCTCTGGCCATGAGCCGTAGACATTCAGATGCCTGACCCAGGGCGAGCATCAGAGGGGGCTGCTTTGGCAGGTTCTGAGACTCTGTGAAGGAGAGACAGGCCTGGTAAATGCTCTGCCCAGGAACTGGGCTCAGGTCAGCTCAGGTCAAAGTTCCCTTGGAAGCACAAAGTAGGGGTAGTGGACAGAATCTCTTAGAACATGGTGTTCACATATCTCTGTGTGAGTATGTCCCAGCCACCAGCCCATGGCCATGCAGCCATGCTAGGAACCTGAGGACCTTAACTTTCTTTAGAGCAATGTGTTGGCCCAGGCCTATAGACACAGGCCAGAGTCTATCATGATCTAGCCAGCCAATTCAGCTGGGCAGAGAGAGGTCAAGATTTAGGTTCAGCCATGGAAGCCCAAGTCCTGTGGGCTACCAGAGAGTGCCTGGGCAGAGCACACTGCCCTAATTTGGACAAATACCAGCAATCCCCAGGGAGAGAGGGAGGAGCCACTCTAGGCATTCATGGGCCAGCTTCTGTTTTTGTTGGATCTGCTTACCTAAAATGGCGCTGTTGAGGGCAGCACACACAGGCTCCCTCTGGATGGGGTCAAGCTGCTGGCCAACTGGGCAGCTCCAGGGATCTGAGTATGCCAGCAGGCTAAATGCATCCTAAGGGACAGGACATTCTTGAGAGGACTGTGGCACACGCCACACACATACACACCTCCATGACTCCAGGGGCATATAGAGCCCTGAATGGTGCCCTGTGAGCATAGGGTCAGAAAGGACTGTGCCTTCCCCAGAGCCTAGAGAGAGTAGCATATACCCCCAAAGTCCTGCTTCCCATTGTGGACTTCACTAGAACCCACTCTATCCTGCTGCTGCTGCCCCCACAGCCCTCCCAGAGTCACCCTGCTCCCTCCCCAACAATGGAGGCCTGCTCTGTATGAAGGTCAGGTTGTTCTATACCTGCAGCATCTCCGTGTGGGCCAAATTCTTGCCATACTCCCGGCCCAGCTGCTCACTCAGTGCTTGCAACTCGCGACCAAACAGGATAATCCTTTCTGTGGCAGCCTGGTTGCCCCCACAGAGCTGCCGCCGAGGATGCCCATCATCTGCACCCAGAGCCCAGCAGAGAACAAATCAGGAAGAGTAAGGAGAGAAGGGGAGAACTGGGGTGGGGACCCCAAAAGGAACATGGCGAGAAGGACCTTGGGGAGACTGCCAGAGGCAAGTTAGGGCTGGGAGGAACAGGTGGATCATCTGTAGCTAAGGTGCTTTTAGTCCACCAAGCACATCGTCTAGGGGTCTGGACTTAGAACCTTTCCCTTCTCCCACCCCGTACAGATGCACGGATGTTCATAAGAGTGCCCACCCTCACCAACTGCCTCTAGCCTCAGACACAGGGGCCCTGATCTTGGCAGCAGGCCAGGGGCCTTCCGGTTTCAACCACCCATTCATGATCGGCTAAGGCGGCAGTGGACCAGGTCTGGTTAGAGTTTCTCAGGCTGTCAAAGCCTGCCCTTCCCAATCCCTTCCTGGGGGACAGAAGACATCTGGATAGAGCCATTACCACTCAGGGATCACCATGCTGAGCCATCATTCTTACCCATGCTGGACTCATCTGTCTGCAGGTCCTCATGCTTGTAGGCGCCATTGACAATGTGTGTGGACACACTCTCCAGCACACCATTGGGGTAATGCTCTGCTTCCATCTCCATCTCACTGTCACTGTGGAGAAGGGTTGAGGTGGGAGTTGACCAGAGGGATGTGGCTGGAGCAACCTGTTGGGCTTCCATTCAGGCTTTAGCCACAGATTGCTGTGGGTAAACCAAAGGACCCTAGGAGCATGAAAGGCTTCCCAGGCTCCAACACTCGGACCCTAGTGTGACACCAGCTATCCCCAGAGGCCTGTCATCTGATTCTCACTCTTGTCTCAAAGCTGCCTCTGCGGCTCTCCCCTTCCTGGACTTCCTCTGAGTTGGTGCACCCCTTCTACACATTCCTCCCCTACCCCCCAGTGACCAGAGACCCCTGATAAGAATCTCTAGGTGTCAAACCCAGGTCAAACCTGAGGCATGCCTGGGGGCTGCTGAAAGTCACCTGTAGTCTATAGCCTAATACCTCTGCTGCCCAACCTATCTGACCTCAAGCCCCACCCGGCAAAAGCTTCTTTAGTGTAGACCCTAGGGGTTCTGCCAGGTCTGCTCCCAGGAGACCACATTCTCAGCCTGGCAGTACCAGTGCCTCTGGAAAAAGTCAGGGCCAAGGAAAATGGCAGCTGGATCATGGGTAGGGCCAGAAGCTGGAGCCAATGCCTGGTCTCGCAGGTCAGCAGCCACTACTCCAGGCACAGACTTGGGATGGAGGTGGGGGTGAAAGACAGGGGGTGGCACTTAAAGGACAGGCTGCAGTGAGCCCAGCTGGTGCAGAGCAGAAAGCAGGAGGAAGAAGCAGAGCAGGACAGGCACCTGGTCTCCTGGTTACTGGTGCTGCTGTGGGGCTGGGACTTGGTGGAATCTGTTGAGTTGGACTCGGAGTAATTGACGGAGGATGGGGATGAGGAGGACGAGGAGGATGAGGAGGAGGAGGAGGAGCTGGGTGCAGGGTATTTACTGTGGTTCTGTTTGCTCTTCGTGGATGCGATGCCATTGCTGCAGCTGGGACTGTCTGCTCCTAGAAACCAGGGGGTAGTCAGAAGAAGAGGGGCAGTTTGCCATCAAATGGGGTCTCAGGAATAACCACAGTGGTCCCATTTCCCTTCCCCCAAATCCAGAAGCGAGCCCTGAGCCCAGCCCAGGGAAGGGCATATGGGTGGCCTTTCTTCTCCACACCAGTTCTTCCCCGAGCCCTCTGGAGAGTGGCTGACCTGTGTTGTGCATGTGGGAACTACTAGGGCCGTGTCGGGGGCTGAGGCTGGGGGAGCCAGGGTAGCTGTCCTGGGACTTGGGGCTTCGGGAGCTCAAGCTGCGGACCTCACTGTCAGTCCCATTCACCATCTCCACAAATTGTCGGCACCTGCAGAGGGAGCAGAGCGGCAATGCTCTGGGCTTGGTCTGGGCTATATGTTCCGACCACCAGCTGGGAGGGGCTGGGCTATGGGGCAGCTGGTGGTGCCCAAAGCTTACTTGAGCATGAAGAGCAGGTTAGGGTTATGCTCCAGCAGTCCTGGATAGAAGCGTTGTGTGGTCTCAATGGCCTCACCCACACGGCCCTCCAGCACCAGCTTCTGGATCTCTGCAGAGAGCAAAAGTATGGCAGTGAGTGAGGGGCTGTAGAGCTCCTTCATAATCACATGCCTACAATACTACCAGCCCCGAGCATGGACTAGCCAGTGGTCAGGTGGGCCAGCTCAGAGTAGCATGATGGTTGAGATGCTCACAGAAGAGGCTGAAGAAAGAAACTGGCCTCCCAGCCCCAAAATGGACCCTGGTTTCTGTCAAGTGTCGGGAGTCTTCAAAGGATAACAGGGGAAAACAAGTGGGACTCAGTGCAGAGGCAGGAGAGCAAATTTGGAGGCTTGCTCCTGTGGAGGTCAGTTCGCCAGGGACCTGGGCATGGGGAGGGGCTCTGGCTGTGGGAACATGATCTGGGGTTGGGCACCCAGGCAGCTTGGTGGCCCTAGGGGCTCCTCTTCAGATAGACTTCTCTCCTGTCAGGCTTCACAGGGGGGTGGCAAAGGGAGCACAATGGTTTCTGGGCCAGGACCCAAGTCCTGGCAGTCTTCAGGGGCTGCAGGATGCTCCCTGCTGGGAGAGGAGGTCATCCTCCTCACACTGGCATCTCTGAAGTTGACACCTTTCAGGCCATCAGCATCTTGCTCTTGCTCTGGGGCCTGGTGCATCTTGCTGGGAGCGACTTCTGGGTCTGAGGCTCTCATTCGTAGATCCCAAGTCTGGGATCCCTTTCCGTCTGTCTGGCTGGGCGTAGCTTCTCTGGGAGACACAGACACATGCACATACACAGAGACGACAGGCTCAGAGAGACGCAAGCAGGCACACACAGACACACATCCACACACACCCATTCTCCCTCACTCTCCTCTCCTCTTCCTATCTCCTTACTGGGCTCTGTTTCCTCTTTCCCAACACCCTCCTTCCACAAAAGAGCCCCAAACACACAGTATGCAGGCCAGTATGTACACTGGGAAAGTTTCCTTTGACTCCTTCCTTCGGTTGTCTGCAAAAGGCAGGACCAGAGGTGGGAGCAGAGAGAGGTGCCACCGCAGCAGCCACTGAGAACCAGCCTTCACCCTGTCTGACTACTTCAGTCCTTTTTCTGGCCAGGAACAAGCAGAACTACTAAAGCTGAGTAAATGGGAAAGGCAGGACATTGGTCTGGTAAGATGCAAACACACTCTTCCAAAAGACCATGAACAGGAGGCTGAGTAGAGGCCAGGATTTGGGGGAAGGAAACAAAGCATGGAGGAGTGGGATTCAGCCATACCAGGCCCCAGCCTGTGCTGGGCCATCAGAGTGTGTAGTGAAGAGGCTTCACTGAGAAATTCATTCCCATGCTGCTGGGCTGGGGCTGTGGGCTAGTCTCCTGGTGGTAAGGACCAGAGCTGAATGGACTCCTGACAGGTTACACAAGGCTGGCATGAGCCAGAGAGCAGAGTTAGGGATAGGTGAGGGAGGGAGGGAGGGAGGGAGGGAGGGAGGGAGGGAGAGAAGAAAGGAGAATCAACCTTACTTTGTCTGTTCTTTATGGATGCTTGTTCTTCCTGAATCGGGGTTTCAGTCATTCGGGCAAAAGCTGTGGCCGTGGCACAATACCCATGATGCACCAGGTAAGATGAGACCATGCTAGAAGAAAGGAAATGCTCAAGGTGACACTTTAGAACTGCATTTCTCACTGACCACCTGAAGGGACAAACTATCTCCCTGTCTGGGCTTCCTTACACACATCATGGAGGTCCAACCTCCACAGAATAAGAATAAAGAGGCTGAAACAAAATGAAAACTTCCCCCAGTGCTCATGCAGTCAGGCTGGAGAAGGGCTGGTCACCAGAGCTGTCCTGGTAGCTTGGAGGAGGGGATGCAGTTTCTCTGCAATATGCTGCCCACAAGTGGGCAAATATGATAACAAAAATACACACACAGGCACATACCATCTCCTTACAGAAACAGGTGCCTCCTGTGAATTGCAGCAAGCCCAGAGCTGGCTGATAGGCTCTCTGAGGGCTTCCTGGAATGGCAGCTGGCCAATCAGCCCAGGAGCTGCCCAGACAGAGACGACGTGTGCCATGTGCGTACCCTCTGTAGACACAGAAACTCCTCTGCAGGCTGCCCCGTGTGCCCAGCATAAGCACTGCAGCTCACCCAGTGAACTTAGCCCTCAGGAGTGCTGGCTCTAGTGGGTGATGGGAAGCTAACCCATGACCCAAATTATTCCACAATATGCCACAAGTCAGGGGCTCAGGAAGCCAAGATATAGGCATCGATGCAGCCAACAGGAACACAATTTTTGGGAAATGGCCTGGAGAAGCCCAACACCCAGTAGCCATTTAATCCCACCACAGCTGGCTGAGTGGTGGCACATGTGCGTATATGTGAATGCACACACGCAGAGCAGAAGGATGAGCCCTCACATCTGATGTGTACGGAAGTGAATACCTTGGTGTAAATATGTGTCTGATGTCCTTATTGTAACTGCCAAACACAAATGTGAAAGGCACAGAAGTTCAGGTGTGTGTCCCCTCATGTTTTAAAGGGTAAATGAGATGATACATATAAAGTGCCCAGCACAAAGTAAGAAGTCAATGAAATAAACCTCCTAAATAATAATTATAATAACTATGTTGTTATTATTATTATTATTATTATAAACACAAGAGCAAACATTTTTGACAAAACATGGTTCAGATGAATGGTCCACATGCACATCAGATGCCACTAATATGATGGTCCAGTGACTCAATAATTCCACTTCTTGAAAGGACACCAAGAAAGTAATCTTAAATATGAAAAACTCTTTACCTACAAAAATGTTGCCTATACAAGCAAAAGAGAGGAAATAACCTGAACCACCAAGGAGCTCACCAAGCTCACCAAGGAGCTTGTGGTAAATTTGTCTCCAAGATAATACAGCCATTAACAATGTTCATAAAATGAAGTCATATGAAATCACAGGATACAGCTTATATGTAGGTCGTGGCAAACACTCCATATGAACACCCACCGGCACACATATACATACATATAAACAAACACACTGTAAGCTGAGACTATCATTCCCTCCCCCAAATAGCTAGAGCAGCTCCACCTCTCCCCTTGCCTGTCTCAGCAAGCCTGTGTCAGGGACTGGCGTATACTGGCTAGTCCTCCAAGGAAGGGCTTCTCAATAGTTCTGAGGGCTGAAAACAAGACAGTGCTGCTCCTCCTGAGAAGGGTCTGGCCACATAGCCCCTGCCTCAGTCCTCCCCTATAACCTGCCTCAACATTAATCCTTTAAGAAAGGAAGACTGCACAAAGAACCCAGTGTGCAACCCAGCCCCACCTGAGAGACTCTGCTACCTGGGTGCCTCTGTGGGACAATAACCAGGGCTAGCGGAAGCCCAGATCTTCCCTGATCACCCTTGGGAGCCAAGCTAATAAGCTAACCCACCTCCTGGAAGAGAAGGTACTGGTTACTGCCTCACTCAGGCCTGCAGCTGGCAAGTAGAAGGGAGACCCAAACCTCGCCTCCCTTGGGATGCAGCAAGACTGGTTTCCAGGACAGTTTAGCAATTAATCATCCAAGAGCCAGATAGGCTGGCCTCAGGATGATTCTCTTCCCACCACCACTGCCAGGAATGTGTGGAACTTAGCTAGATGATGACCCTGAGAGGTGATCTCAGGCAACAGTCACAGCATGATGGATATTCCCTATGGTGGAAAAAAGTCCACAAATGAAGAGACCACAGGGCATCCTAGTACATCCTCTGCATCCTCTGCAAAATAACGTGGGGAAGGAAAACAGCTCTGCTGGTGATACTATATGGCAGAGCCTTCCAATCCAGTTGAGGGGGCAAAGGTTTAGTTAGGAACAGATCTGGAGAACTGAGCAGAAGCTGTCCATTCACTAAGAGGGAAGCAAGAGAGCAGCAGGCAGAGTCACCCTGGGAGTGCTTTCCAGAAGGAACAGCTACCCACTAGAGTTCATAGGTGTAGTCTGAAGCAGTACAGGGGCCTATAGGAGGAGAATGAGGCCCTTGGGATGGGCCAGGGCTGGGTAAGGGTGGGAGTGGGGCACTCACTTCTGCAGCACTGCCTGCCACTCTCCAAGCCGGGCACTGATGGGGAAGCAATGGACAGTGCCTTGGACCTTGGCACGCCACTCCCGCATGTAGTCCTCAATGTCAAACAGGAAGGGCTGCTGCCCAAAGTTGGCGTCCACAATCTCCCCAGGTGTCTGCAGGCCTACGGTGGGGTAGAGGTTGGCCTGAGGAGGAGAATGAAATGTCAGTTGGGCCCTGAGTGCAAAGGGGCAGCAGGACCTCGCCTTACCTCTGGTGCAGAGGGAAGGCGCTGGGTCCTGCAGGCCACTACTCCGGCTTTGAGAGAATTGCAGTAAGGCTGGAGGAGGCAGGGCTAAGCCACATTCTGCCCACCTGCCTACCAGAGATGCTATTCCCCAAAGCTTCAGGAGAGAAAGCAAAAGAAAATCAAGCCAGGCTCGAAGTGGAGTCTCCTGCCCTGCATCAGAGGTTATGGTGTCCCCAAAGCCCAAGGTCCCCCTTTGGGGCTCATCCAGGACACATGGGAGGAAGGCCAGGCTCCACAACCCTGCAGGTGTACCCATGAAGATCTGCTACATGGGCGGATAATGGCTCCTTTCAGAATGATCTAAGACCAAGGATCCCTTTGCCACAAAAAAAAGGAGTATATGACAGGGCAGGAAGGGATGCGGGAGACAGGAAAGGAAGGTGGGGAGGAGGAGAGCATGGCAAAAGGGGGTAGGTGGTTTGGACCCCCAGATGCTGGCAAAGGGTAAAGAGAGGCCACTGCCCTTCCTGTCAAAGGCTCACTAAGAGGAGGATCTTCTGGCCAGTGAGGTTTGGTCATGTCCCTCTGTGGGTGTGGGGCTCCCTGTTTTCCATTATATGCTGCCATGGCCAGTTTTTGCCAGATCACTCCCTCACTCAGTGCTTCCTGTGGCTCCCCATTGCTAGTCAAGTGTCTCGCCAGCCTCCTCCTCATTGTCACTGGGCCCCAGTCCTCTCTCCCACCTTCCATCCTCTGGCCATTTGTCTGTCATTCCTCAGTATCATGTGCTTTGCTTTACTTTACTGAACACTGGGTTCAGCCCACCACAACCTTGAATCCTAAGATCTCTAGCTTCCTTCCTTTCCCCTCCCAACCTCCATGCCATAGGCAAAGCCCACCCTCTCCAGCAAATCTTACCTATCAATGCCCTCAGTGACGCCCCCTACCTTGAAGCAGCCATACACTTTCTAGCACCTGATGACTGCCCACATTCATAGCTCTAAAACTAGACCATTCCCTAGCCAAGGTCAGAATTCTCCGTCTGTTCTCTTTGCCTGAGACCACAGCCCCTCTCTGGTGCTTCCAGGTAAGGAGAGAAGGATTCTGATCTACAGATAAGAGTTTCTAACAGGATCTTGGGAGCTGTAGTCTGGGCTTCAGAAGGCCTCACAGATACAAGGGCATTGCTAGGGCATCACAGGGGTGCTCAGGATCCCAAGGCTACCACTGGAGTCAGCAAACCTCTCCTCCTTCCAGAACCCAACCAGGGTACACAGAGCCAGTCCAGACTCCCAGAAGTCTGGGTGGAGGCCTTGCATGTGACGAGGCCTGTGATGACTCATAATAATGAAGGACTAGGGTGCAAGAGATGGGGATGAGTCCTGAACTCAGCCAACAAGAAACCTCACCCTTTTCTAAGAAAAGAAAACCTGACAAAGCTCACCTCTCTGGTTTGGGTGAACCTTGTACAGTAGCAGGCCTAGTCCCCCAGGGTAGTGGCCTTCCTCAGGGATCTCTGATGAGTAGGCACTGGGACTGGGCTCCAAGACAGTTCAAGAACAATTCTCTATACACCCCAGTCCACTGGCTGTAAGCCACACAGAACTGGCCTAGACTAGCTAAACCATGGAGCCACCCTCATCTCCACCCATGCCATCCCCCAGCTGCCTTTAGAAATGCCACAAATCAAAAAAAAAAAAGAAAAAAAAAGAAAAAGAAAGGGGCGCCTGGGTGGCAAGTCGGTTAAGCATCGACTTCAGCCAGGTCACGATCTCGCGGTCCGTGAGTTCGAGCCCCGCGTCGGGCTCTGGGCTGATGGCTCAGAGCCTGGAGCCTGTTTCCGATTCTGTGTCTCCCTCTCTCTCTGCCCCTCCCCCGTTCATGCTCTGTCTCTCTCTGTCCCAAAAATAAATAAATGTTGAAAAAAAAAAAAAAAAAAAAGAAATGCCACAAATCACTGTCACCTGCTAAAAGTCATGGAGGAAGACCAGGCCTTGCTGCTGGAGAGAGAGGAAGGCCAAGAGGTACCCCTACTGGTACTCTCAAGCTGAGAGCATAGCATACATCCCTGTTTGGGGAAAGAGCCAGACTCCACACCCTGTACTTGCAGGTTCCACCATACTCCAACCCAGTTAGCCCCAAAGAGCCCAGAGGGAGAAGACCCAATAATAGTACTTACCGGGAGGTCTGTGAAGGCTATACCTGCGAAGGGAAAGAACAGAAATCAGGCTACTTGGTCTCCTACCCCTCTGTGCAACCACAGAGGGTCCATCACGATGGCTGGGGAGGGGCTGGTCACCACATCTCCCTATGATGGAAGCCAAGCATGTGCTAGGGCCTGGTAGGTTTAGACCTTGGCCTTCCATTTGCTGGGTCTGACTGGAAGTAAAGTCAAATACTTGAATATTCACTCACAGTTCTTCCACCCTCTCAGGGAAAGCCCACTAGGAAGGACTAAACTCAAATGATCTACCCTAAGGCCTCTTCAAGTCTGATCCTTCTTTTGATCCAACATGTATTTATGGAGACTTACTGTGTATGCCAAGCCCTTTTCCATCCATCATCTCATCTGATATGCATAACAGCTCTGGGGAGCAGGCTTTCTTATCCCCATTTTACAAATGAGGAAAGTAAGCCTCAGAGGTTGAAAGATTTCCCAACAGTCATAAAGCTAGCTGAAGTGTTTGGCCTGGACTCATTCCTAGTCTAACACTCCAACATCCTAAGTTGACAGAGACAGCTGACAGAGACAGCTCTAGGTGGAGACAGGGAGGGTGGCAGCTGCTGATCTCCATCCCACACCCATCCAGAGTCTCCAGAGGTTTCAAGTTGACAAATGACCTGTGTACCCTCTGAACCCTTCTGCAAAGAGAAGGGGCTGTTCCCAGGTACCTCAGCCTTGAGCTGGAAGTGAGAATGGAGGGAAGTGGGATCTCAAATAAACGAGCAGGGCAGGAACCTCAGAATATCCACCAGAACACTCATGTTCTTTAGAGTGAGAAATGACTCACGGCCAAAGGAGACTCTTCCAAGGACTCACAGCCCTCCCATTTTTAGAAAATTTCTCATGTCTTCTAGAAGCTCCTGAGCTTTTGGACTGAGAAGTTTCTAAACCACTCCTTAGAGGTCCCAGTCTGCTCCCCTAACTCCTACCCAGAAGAGAAACCGAAACCCAGCAAGACAGAAGAACAGGTGAGGGTTTGATAATAGGTCTCCTAGTAAACCTGGCGTCAGAATCCTGACAGCCAACCAGTGTATACCACACGCTTCCACTGAGCTGGGCCCTGGGCTCACTGCCCTACAAGGAACCACTTAATCCTCAGAACAACCTTGGAAGGCGTATACCATCTCTAACACTAGTTTACAGATTAAAAAACCAAGGTGCAGAGAAACTGTTTACATTCTTTGCCAGGTTATTATGCTCCTTAGGGAGGGAAGCTCATAAATTCCATGATCTACCTGCCTGAGGCCACTTCTCAGGCCCACATGCAGAGTGGCAGTCACAGAGCTGGCAGAATGGAATCTGTAAGCCCCTCTGCACCCATGAGAAGACGTCATGTCCACCCTCCAGGTCTGCACAGGAGCTGCCTTTGTGGATCTCAGTGTGGTCAGGCTGCTGCTGCTGCTACACTCCACTTCAGGGAGAAGGCCTACAGACCCTGGAAGGAGGTCGAGGCTCCATCAGTTATTTGCAGTGTGACCCTGATCATTTACCCCATCTTTCTGAGCCCATCTGAAAAAAGGAGGGAACATTAATCCTAACACTTAAAGAAAGAAAGGAGAAACTGAGATACTTGGTGAAAGCTGCTTCAAAAACTATGAGGTCTTGGTACAAGCTGGCTGCAATTGTGCCACAGGGTAAGGCAATTGCCACATTTCTGGGCAGGGGATGACCTACCCTTGCTTGCCCAGATCTACCTCACAATGGCACTCAGGAAGGACAAGGCCTTGAGGTGCTTCCAGGAAAATGAGGAAAGAGGCCACTCCACCCCCTATTGCACTGGACAAGGGCAACCCTGCTCCCCCAGCCTTGCAGATCTCTGGGAGCCTCTGCAAGGCCAATGTAGTGGCAAGATCTGGGGAAAAGGTCAGGCAAAGATCCAGGATGCAAACAGAACATTCAAACTTGCTGATAAGAAGTACTCTGAACCAAAGAGTCATAGGTCAGGGGTCAGTGAGGCTGAGGGTATAAAGCCTATAAGCACACAGAACTGTATAAAAATGCAAGTTCATGGACCACTTGTAGGTGAGACATCATTTTCCTGTCTCCATTCATTTGCTCATTCATCCTTCTATCAAGTATCTGCTGAGACCTCCCAGGAGCCATACCCTGAAAGTGCTACTGGCTCCATGCAACTAATAATTACACAGGCAACTGACCATTGACACAAAGGGCAAGTGCTATGACAGAGGAACGATGGAGCAAAGCAAAGGAATGGGGAGGCCAGAGGCAGGAAACATAATTCTGCTTCTCTAAAGGGGACAGGGTTAGGGTTCTGAGGTTAAGAGCAGTGACTGATTCCAGGTGAGGCTCTGAAGCACAATATTGATAAGCTGGCTTGTGGAAAAGAAACAAGGTCATTAAAAGATTCACCAAGTTGGGAAAACTGGATGGCAACACATAGAAGAATGAAACTGGGCCACTCTCTTACACCATAGACAAAAATAAGTGCAAAAATGGATGAAAGACCCAAATGTGAGACAGGAAACCATCAAAATCCTAGAGGAGAACACAGGGAGCAACCTCTTTGACCTCGGTTTGAGCAACTTCTTTTTAGATATATCACCGAAGGCAAGGGAAACCAAAGCAAAAATGAACTATTGGGACTTGATCAAGATAAAACGCTTCTGGGCATCTGAGTGACTCAGTTGGTTGAGCATATGACTCTTGATTTCAGCTCAGGTCATGATCCTGGGGTCTTGGGACTGAGCCCCAAGTAGGGCTTCATGCTGAACATGGAGCCTGCTTAAGATTCCCTCCGCCCCACCCCACCCTGCTCAAACATGTATGTGCACACACTTTCTCTTTCTCTCTGGAGAAAAAAAAAAAAAAGATAAAAAGCTTCTGCACAGCAAAGGAAACAGTCAACAAAACTAAAAAGCAACCTACAGAATGGTAGAAGATACCTGCCAACGATATATCCAATAAAGATTTAGTATCCAAAATGTGTAAAAAAACTTATCAAACTCAAAACCCAAAAAACAACCCAGGGGTGCCTGGGTGGCTCAATCAGTTAAGCATCCGACTTCAGCTCAGGTCACAGTCTCACAGTTTATGAGATCAAGCCCCGCATCAGACTCTGCACTGACAGCGCACAGCCTGCTTTGGATCCTCTGTCTCCCTCTCTCTGCCTCTCTCTCTCAAAAATAAACAAACATTAAAAAAAAAAATTAACTCATGGGAATGTAAGCTGGTGTAGCCACTCTGGAAAACAGTATGGAGGTTCCTCAAAAAACTAAAAATAGAACTAGCCTACGACCCAGCAATTGTACTACTAGTATTTATCCAAAGGATACAGGTGTGCTGTTTCGAAGGGACACATGCACCCCCATGTTTATTACAGCACTATCAACAACAGCCAAAGTATGGAAAGAGACCAAATGTCCAACAATGGATGAATGGATAAAGAAAATGTGGTACATATATACAATGGAGTATTACTCGGCAATCAAAAAGAATGAAATCTTGCTATTTGCACTACATGGATAGAACTGGAGGGTATTATGCTAAGTGAAATTAGTCAGAGAAAGACAAATATTATATGACTTCACTTATATGAGGACTTTAAGAGACAAAACAGACGAACATAAGGGAAAGGAAACAAAAATAATATAAAAACAGGGAGGGGGACAAAACAGAAGAGACTTTTTTTTTTTATTTAAAAAAAAAATTTTTTTTTCAACGTTTATTTATTTTTGGGACAGAGAGAGACAGAGCATGAATGGGGAAGGGGCAGAGAGAGAGGAAGACACAGAATCGGAAACAGGCTCCAGGCTCTGAGCCATCAGCCCAGAGCCCGACGCGGGGCTCGAACCCACGGACCGCGAGATCGTGACCTGGCTGAAGTCGGACGCTTAACCGACTGCGCCACCCAGGCGCCCCCAGAAGAGACTCTTAAATATAGAGAACAAACAGAGGGTTACTGGAGGGATTGTGGCAGGGGGGATGGGCTAAATGGGGAAGGGGCATTAAGGAATCTACTCCTGAAATCACTGTTGCACTACAGGCTAACTAATTTGTATGTAAATTAAAAAAAAAAATTAATAAAAAAAAATTAACTCGGTTAAGAAATGGGCAGAAGACATGAATAGACACTTTTCCAAAGAACACATCCAGATGGCTAACAGACACATGAAAAGACGCTCAACATCACTTATCATCAGGGAAATACAAATCAAAACCATGATGAGACACCACCTCACACCTGTCAGAACGGCTAAAATTAACAACACAAGAAACAACAGTTATTGGTGACTTTTTAAAATTATTTTTATATATTTTTTTAATGTTTATTTTTTGAGAGAGAGAGAGCAGGAGAGGGGCAGAGAGAGAGGGACACAGAGAATCCAAAGCAGGCTCCAGGTTCTGAGCTGTCAGCACAGAGTCCAACGTGGGGCTTGAACTCATGAGCTGTGAGACCATTACCTGAGCTGAAGTTGGATGCTTAACTGACTGAGCCACCCAGGCGCCCTCATTTTTATTATTATGATCTTTGAGAGAGAGAGAGTATAAGAGAGCAGGGGAGAGGGACAGAGAGAGAATCCCAAACAAGCTCTGTACTGTCAGTATGGAGCCCGATGCAGGGCTTGAACTCACAAACCACAAGCTCATGACCTGAGCCAAAGTTGGACACTCAACTGACTGAGCCATTCAGTCACCCCACAATACAAGAAACAACAAGTGTTGGCAAAGATATGGAGAAAGGAGAACCCTCTTGCACTGCTGATGGGAATGCAAACTGGTGCAGCCACTCTGGAGAACAATATGAAGGTTCCTCAGAAAACTAACAATAGAACTATCCTACAACCGAGCAACTGCACTATTAAGTATTTACCCAAATGATACAAAAATACAGAGTCAAAGGGGTACATGCACCCCTATGCTTATAGCAGCATTACCAATAATAGCCAAACTATGGAGAGAGCCCAAATGTCCATCAACTGATGATTGCATAAAGATGTGCTATATATATAGAATATTACTCAACCATCAAAAAAAAAAAAAAAAGAAATCTTACCATTTGCAACAACATGGATGCAGCTAGAATGTACTCTGCTAAGTGAAATAAATCAGTCAGAGAAAGGCAAATACCATATGATTTCACTCATATGTGGAATTTCAGAAACAAAACAGATGAACACATGGAAATCAGGGGGAAGAAGAGAGAGGGAAACAAACCAAAAGAGGCTCTTAACAATAGAGAACAAACTGAGGGTTGATAGAGGGAGCTGGGTAGGGGATAGGCTAGATGGGTGATGGGTATTAGGAGGGCACTTGTAATGAGCACTGGGTGTTGTATGTGAGTAATAAATCACACTGAGTTCTACTCCTGAAACCAATATTGCATTGTACGTTAACTAAAATTTAAATAAGTAAATAATTAAATAAATAAGGATTCACCAAGTAGTCTATTACTCCAAGTTCACTGCCTTTCTATTATATTTTGTGATCTAGAAAATGCAGGGGACAGGCCAGATACATTTTTTTTTTAATCTTTATTTATTTTTGAGAGACAGACAGACAGACAGCAAGCATGGGAGGGACACAAAGAGAGGGAGACACAGAATCTGAAGCAGGCTCCAGGCTCTGAGCTGTTGGCACAGAGCCCGACGTGGGGCTCGAACTCACGCACCATAAGATCATGACCAGAGCCAAAGTCAGATGCCCAACCAACTAAGCCACCGAGGCACCCCAGGCCAGATACATTTTTTTAATAAGTTCTCTAATATCCTCATGGACAAGACAGAAAACACAAGTTTCAAACTAACACAATAAAGTGATTCTTAATATATCCTGAAGGGCTCAAATCTCAGCCTGTCCTCCTCCATTATTTTTTATCAAGACCTTAATGAAAACATACATAAACATATTTATCAAATTTTAGGTTAACACAATGCTGACAAGGCTATCAAATATTTGGGAAAGAACAAGGAAGATCATAGAAGATCCTGACAGGCCAGAAAAATAGGCAACAGACTCCTACATGAAGTTTAAATATAAGCAGAGTGAGGTCTTAAAGGAGGTCTATACAACACATGAAATAGGGAGAAAAGTTTAAAAAGAATGAGAGGGTTTGGGCTGACATTAAGGTGGCTGTGTTCCTTACAGAACTAGGGACCCAACTGACAAAGAGCTCAGAGGCTTGGCATGCATGTAGGGCCCAGATGAAGGAGCTGAAGGTGCAGAGAGGACAGCAGGGTATGTCCCAAACTTTTCATCCCATGGCAGATGCCATGCTCCAAGCAAAGTGCGGACAACCTGGAGGGATGTGATGAGGGCAGGTATCCAGAGCAGAGGGGAAGGACCGAGACTGGGACAGGTACAGGGGGGCGTGGGTAAAGAATAAGAACCCACAACAGAGGCTCCTGGGACAGCAGAAAGAGAGCCAGGAAATAGCTGTAGTAAGAGAGCAGAGTGGGGATCAAGAAGACATCTTGAGACCTTGCCCCTAAATGCTTGCTCACCATCTGGATGCCAGCTGGATGCAATTACAGCTAGGTGGCTACGGATTTCAGAGGAGGGTTTCTCTGGATATGCACCTGGGTCCCCTCTACAGTGTCTGTGCTATGCTCTTGGTTGCCCACTCTGGCATCTATCTGTCCTGTTGAGGAATGCTGACTCCTGGACACCCAGCCTCCAGCAAACCCAACTTCCACTCAGGTTCCCTAATTCAGCCCAGTTTCATCTCATGGAGAACCCACACAGAAGTTGTCTCTGTGGGGACTGACAGCCATCTTTTTACTGCCCCTCAGGCCAGGGATGCAGGCCTCCTAGAATTTAGGCTTCTAAGTAAAATGTCCAATTCTCTTTTTAGACAAGGCCTGTGGTCAGCTTGGCTGGTACGGTTCTGCCAGATCAGACCTCTGCAAACCCAAGCAGGCAAGCCCAGCAGTTAGGCACTACCTCAGGGCCACCGTGGCCAAAGGCTCCTCTCACTACTCAAGGACCATATACCAGTCAGCCTCAGTAGGACAAGGCATCACAATAGCCAACGTCCCTCTATCTCCCAGGCTTTTATCCTAAATCTCTTCACATGTACAGGGTTGCTCTTCCAAGAGATCCTCCAGGGCCCCCTCTCCCTCCACTGACTGCTACTCCTCCTGGGTCCTGATCCTGTTCGAAAGCACCACTATCCAGCCACTTTCTCATCCTCCTTTCTTGCTAGAGCACTGCATCTGTCACTAAAACCTGCTGGGTCACCCTGGCCTTTATCAAGTTTGCTCCCCATGCCCTGCACACATCACAACCTCTTCCCCAGGCCCTCCCTCCAGTCAGTCCATCTTTTGCAGGTATACCAAAGGACCTTTTAAAATATAACTCTGGGGGTGCCTGGGTGGCGCAGTCGGTTAAGCGTCCGACTTCAGCCAGGTCACGATCTCACGGTCCGTGAGTTCGAGCCCCGCGTCAGGCTCTGGGCTGATGGCTCGGAGCCTGGAGCCTGTTTCCGATCCTGTGTCTCCCTCTCTCTCTGCCCCTCCCCCATTCATGCTCTGTCTCTCTCTGTCCCAAAAATAAATAAAAAACGTTGAAAAAAAAAATTTAAAAAAAAAATATATAACTGTCCAGGTTGCTATCTGTTAACCAGTGAAAAGGCCAGAAGAGACCTGGCTCCACCTGATTCCAGCCTGTTTACCTCCTGTACTAGAGCAGACCTCCTATTGCTCGCTCCATAGCAACCAGCATCTTGCATGTCGGAAGGGCCAGGCAAAGTCAGGGCCCAGGCCACGCACAGGCAAACCCCGACCACTGTCAGGTATGTACTCGGGCCCCTCACACTTCTTATGAATGCCAAAACCTGTTCCAACAAGTGTCACACAGGCCAGGAGCATGACCATGACATTGCTACTTTCTCAGCACTGACCTTGGGCTTGATAAATGCTGCTAAATGGATGGATTAACAAAGGAAGCACCACTGCTACCTTCCCTTCACACCTGGCAGGGCTCCAATGCCTGGAAATGGCTGCAGTTCCCCAGAGCTCAGGAGAGCATCAGTGGCATTGCTTTGGCTTTAAAGCCTCCCCTTAGGCCTCTCACCAACCAAAGTGGCTCTACAAGGCAGACCCTCTAAGGTCTCCTGTGCACCCACCAAGGCTGTGGCCATTCTTGGTGTAGAAGCAGGTGCTGTTGATGAGGTTGACACAGCAGCCAATCACGTCTCCTGTGGTGAATGTGGGACCGTAGGGCTGGCCAGTCCCAGAGGAGCAGAACGAATGCCCATCATCGCCGTGGTAACCATAGGAATGTTTATCCCAACCTGTTGGGGAAGAGAATAGCAACAGCTGAGTGGAGGTGTCTGAGACAGCCACAGAAGCCTGCCTGGGTCTGAGCCCTTCTCCCCAGCCTGCCAACACCTCAGTCAGTACTCTTGGACTCTCAGAGCTGGCTGTGGACAGGTTCTGGCTACACCAAAGGAGCAGTGACTCCAGCAGGTCACCACCCCTGAGTAGCTGAAGCAGTCAAGGGGACCAACCTGTGGTTAACAAGAACCAAAACCATGACTAACCTGGAAAAGACTTACCAGAAGGCCATGCACGCGGCAAGGAAGCGGTCAGAGAAAGTCTCATGATGGAGAGGGGGCTTCAACTGACCTTTCAGGGTTTTTTTTTTGCTTTTAATGTTTTTAGTTTTATTTTTTAAAGTAGACTTCACACCCAGGGAAGACCCCAATGCAGGGTTTGAACTCAAAATCCTGAGATCAAGATCTGAGCTGAGACAGGATGCTTGAGTGGCTCAGTCAGTTAAGCGACCATCTCTTGACTTTGGCTGAGGTCATGATCTCATGGTTCGTGAGCTGGAGGCCCACATTGGCCTCTGTGCTGACAGTGCAGAACCTGCTTGGGATTCTCTGTCTCCCCCGTCTCTCTGCTCCTCCCCTGCCCGCTCTCTAGCTCTCTCTCAAATATAAGTAAATAAACATTTTTTTTTAAATTAAAAAAAAAAAAAAAAAAGATCTAAGCTGAGACCAGGATTCAGACACTTAACCAACTGAGTCACCCAGGGGCCCATGATTTATACACTTTAGATGGGTGGTTTTTACGGCATAAAATCTTATCTCAATAAAGCTATTAAGCACACACACACATATGTATTTGACTTTGTATATATTCACCTGGTGTCCTGAAACCTTGTAAAACTCACCAATTAGTTCTAGTAGCTTTTATGAAGATTCTTTGGGATTTCTAAACATACTGTCTGAGAAATAAAAACAATTGTATTTTTGCTTTCTACTCTGCATGTCTTTTATTTCTTTTTCCTGCCTGAATAGAAATAGAGCAAAAGTGACACCTCTGAAGTGCACCACACTTTGGTACAGGGAAAAGAGTGAAAAAGGTCATTCCAGGAAGAAGTACAGTAAAGTCATGAGCACAGGTGGGACCAGAGGGTGTGAGCTACAGAGGGACCTGCCTGCCTGCCTGCTTGGCTAAGGAATAGGAGTAGAGCTCACAGAGCCATGGCAAGCCAGGACCCACACAGGGTAGGCAAGCCTGACTGGCTGACAAGCAGGTCTGCTCCCTAAAGTAGCCGTTCCAAATAGCTTTCCTAGCCTCTGCTGCCTTCTTGGGGTCTGAGCAGCATGCCCATGTCAACATACTTAAGCACATCCTTCCCTTCCCGCCACCCCCCAAGTGGCATTCCCTCCTCTGGTAGGGAAGCTCTCTCCAGAGGGGCAGAGTGCTTAAGTATCTGAGTACCTCACAAAGAAAGGCAGGTTTCAAACATTCTCAGTGTGTTTAAGTATGTGTGTGGTGAGGAAAGGCGGGTAGGGAGAGGGTAGGGAGGTATGAGCAGGCTGTAAGCAAAGGTATGTGGGTGAAAACGGATGGATGACAGGGCCAGTGGTTAGCATGGGAGATACAGGACAAGGCTGGAGAGGTAGAACTAACCAGACCCTGGAACCCAAACTCTGCCCTGCATTTGGACTGGTGAGCTCAAGGGCAAGGTGTCCTTCATAATCACAGTATCCATCCCAAGCCTTGTATACCCTGAGCTTTCATGTCTTTTCAGCCAGGAACCCTGGTTCCTGGTTAAATGAAGCTTCCCCAGAACCATAGTGGGCAACAGGCCAAAGCTGAATGGCTCTCACTAGCGGGTACAGGACCTAGAGACCTGCTGCACCCCTCCTAATAGCTTTCCACCAATCAGAAGGAAACTATTGTGAGAACTGCCCAGAGCTGGCTTTAGAAAGCCCAAGGCCTGGAGCCAGGCTCTGTTCTCACCTTTCCCATTCTCCAGAGACACTGGGACTGCCTGGCTCAGGGGATAAGGTGCTGCTCTGGGCACCAACCCAACTTCTAAGCTCCTTAACCCCAAGAGTGGGTGGGGCCTTTCTACTGCTGGTGAGTACACAGATCATTTGGCCTCAGGGAAGCAGCTCTCCTCGGGCACAGGGATGCCCACTGCTGCCCTGAGAGGTAGGATGATGAAGCTACAATAGGCAATGCCTCTCCTCAGGCTTCAACACAGGAGGCTCTATGGCTCCTGGCAGCAGCAGCTGCAGTAGCAGCCGCTCCTCTGGGCCACAGAAGGCTACAAATGAAGGGGTGTCAGCTGAACAGCAGTGAGGACCAAAGTGACAATCATCCCTCTAGGTCTGGCTCAGATTGTACTTGGTGACCCTGGGCATGCCCACCAGCTTCCCCTGCCTCAGGATCCACATCCACATGCCACACCAATCACAGTAGGCCTCCCCTGGCTCCTCCTAGATCCTCCAGACGGAGCACAAGGGCTTCCCACATGCAACACAGTCACTGACCACAACATGACAACCTGTTAAGAGAGCAGCACAGCAATAACCCTGTGTGTGTGGCACAACAGTTACTGCCACTTCCACCTCATCAAGAGACTGGGGGCCTTGGTCACCAGCCCGCAAAGCTGAGAAATGGTTGAAATGGGATTTGACCAAATCTTCAGATTCCAAAACCCACATCTTTCCTGTCATGTGTCTTGTCTCATTTGAGGTGGTAACCACTCAGGCAGTAAAACTGTCCCCAAGCCCCTATCCCATCACCAAGAAGACAGTGGTCAGATGCACTGGTTTTAAGGCGCTGTGGACCTGGGATTTCTGACTTGCAGTGAATCAGGCCAGAAATGGGGCAAGGCCCAGACCCCAGCCCTAGAGGAAGACAAAGGTACTGGTGCCTCCTGTCTGAAGGCTACAGCTGGCAGTCTCTGCTCTCCAGGGAGCCCCCACCTTCCCACCTCACCAGGCAGCCACAGCCAGCTGACCAGAACACACACTTCCACCCAGTGCCCACTGAAGAAAGGCTTCCTAAGCACAAAGCCCCGCTTCTCACATATAAAGAACATACATATGATCCAGCCAAAGATAGCAGCACTTGACTTTAGGCCACAGGCCTGAATTCTCAGCATGGAACCCCCCAGGATGGGCTGCTCTGCTATAGAGCCCTACAGCTACTAGAGACCAAACTTTGCTCCAGGGGCCTGGGATGCCAGGGGCAGAGGTGTGGCTCTCCTCAATGCTGCTTGAGCAGAAAAGATTTCCCTAAACACAAGCCTACCACTCACCACCTCCTGAGGCCATGTGGCTGTGGGAGAACACTGCCCAGGAAAGCCACTGCCCATTCTAGCCCTCCCCAAAGAATCCTTAGGGAGAGCTGCTTGCTGTCCTATGCGCCCTCTCAGAACCATGCCCACAGCTGCTCATGCCCACTGGGTCCTCCCTTTGTGCCAGTGCATCATGATCCAACCCCGACGCTTGCTCCTTTAAGTTTTCCATAACATTGTTTGGTTCCCCCCTCCCCCTAGCCCTGGCACACTGCTCACATCCCTGATCAATCCTGAATCCTACTGAACCTTTCCAGTCACCAGTAGTTACTTGTCCTGGGACTGTCCCTGTCTATCTTCCTTGGCCAAGACAGGAGTTCCCTGACGCAGGGTCTACATGATCTCATCACAAGTTCCTCCAGTGCCCAGGATGTCAGGAGTCTGAGAGGTGGTACACATGCATATACACATGTCTGTGTGTTTGTGTGTAGTGACCAGTCCTAGCCCATTTCTCTCTCACACAAGGATGACCGACCCTGCATGACAGATTTTGTATACAGATTTTACTGGCTAGAAAGTACAAGACTTGAACTAGAAAATTTTCCTTGTTTTAGCTTTCTCAGATTGAAGCGGTAGTTACTCTAACAATTTTAATAAAAATGTAGCCATGTGATCCATCAAAAATAGTGAAATTGCCCAAAAGAACCAGTTCCTACTTAAGTCAATGACTCAAGGATATCTGGAAGCTATTTTTGTTGCCATGTATAGGAGCTCAATAACTGTCACCAAAACAACAGAGGTTTACATTTCCAAAGACCTAATACAGAAATTTAAGTATTTTGAATACTTTTCTTCAAAAATAAACTATGTAATTATTTTGACAAAAACTACCATAGAGCTATAAATATGGATTTTAAATTAAAAAAAAAAAAAAACCTGAAGAGCTTCATAAAAAAAAAAAAAAAGTATTTACTTAGAATTGATTTAAGATTCACCATCATCTTGGTTTGTATGGAAAATAGGTTAAGTTTTCCTGTTTTTGTTTTCAATTCCCAAATCACTTACCATTTATATAGATTTACCCAGAGGAAGAAAATGCATAGTCCCTGTCATACACTGAGTAAGGCTTCCCAAAGAAGTCCAAGTCCTAATCCCAGAGCCTGTGAATATGCTATCTTAATGGTACAAAAGATTTTGCAGAAGTGATTAAGGCTCTTGAAATGGGAGAGTGGATTGTCCTGGATTATCTGGATGGAGAAGCAATGCAATCACAAGGGTCTTTGTAAGAGGGAGGCAAGAGGGTCTAGTCAGAAAAGGTGATGTGAAGGCAGAGAGAAACTAGAAGATGCTACACTGTTGGCTTTGAAGATGGAGAGATGGGGACACAAGTGAAGAAATGTAGGTGGACACTAGAAGCCAGAAAAGGCAAGGAAGCAGATTCTCCCCACAGAGTCTCTAAAAAGAATGCCAGCCTGCTGACATCTTGGTTTTAGGACTTCTGTCCTTCAGAACTGTAAAATGATTATTTTATTTATTTATTTAAAGATTTTGTTTTTAAGTAATCTCTACACCCAACGTGGGGCTTGAACTCACAACTCCAAGATCAAGAGTCCAATGTTCTATCATCTGAACCAGCCAGATGCCCCTAAAACAATTACTTTAAGTCACTATTATTATTACAGCAGCAATAGAAAACCAATATGGTCCCTTATAGCTATAGAAGAACCTACTGAGCATCTGAAACGATCA